TCCTTTTCTTTTCAAACAATGCCATAGTTGCCAAACATCCATCTGAACAGGCAGACGAGATGGGACATTGGTTTAACATTTGATCAGCACTGTATTGGAGTGTCCGCCTACACTGTGAGCTTGAAGTCCTGACGTGTGGACTTGAACCCACAACTTTCTGATTCAGAGGCGAGAGTGGAGCCGATAGAGCCAAGTTGACACGATTGTTGCTTAGCAACTCAGAGCTAAGCAGAAGGAGCACTTAATAAGAGAACTTGCATTTTTTTTTAGTGACTAAAATGTCAAAATGTCTCAAAGCGCTTCACAGTAATTGCTGTCACATATGGTGACTGGTTTTCTGTAGGGAAACGGAGCAGCCATTTTGTACACAGCAAGGTGACCATTTTGTGCAAACTGTCATGAGGGAGGACTGTTGAGCGGGAAACCGGGAGAAATGTCCTTCTCTTTTCCCGCAGTGTTCAAGATCCTTAATGCTCACCTGAACAGGCAGATGGACGTGGGGAAGAAAACATGAACTGAGCACTGAGCTCACGAAGGGAAAGAAAGACAGAAAGGAGCAAAGATTTCATATGGCCATTTCAGAAGAAAATGATTTGGAAAAAGAGGGCAAAATCTTCAAATTAGAGGGCCACAGTAAAAGTTTTTATGAATATATTAAAAGAAAGAGTGGTAAAGAGGAATGTGAGCCAATTAAAGACAGATGTTGGTGAGACTAATGGACAATAACGAAATGTCAGGCTTGTGGAATGAATACTTTGCTTCTGTTTTCACAATAGAGGAAGAGGACAAAGTACCAGTGGTAGAAGGGAACCTAAAAATAAGACAAAGAGAGATGCTAAATGCATTTAATATAAATAAAAAATGGTAATCAAGAAAATATTGAGACTAAAGCTAGACAAATCTCCAGGACCTGATAGATTCCACCCTAGGGTGTTAAAATAAGTAGGGGAGGAAATTGAGGACGCCTTTGCCATAATTTTCCAAAGCGCTATATTCAGTAATTGTGCTCTTGGATTGGAGATTTGCAAATGTCACTCCATTATTTGAGAAGGGAGGGAGGGAACAACCAGGTAACTGCAGACCTGTCAGCTTCACTTCAGTTATGGGGAAGTTACTGGAATCTCTTATCTGGGTCAGAGTGACTGAGCACATGGTCAAATATGAGCTAATCAAAGAGAGTCAGCGAGGATTTGGGAAGAGGTAGGTGGTGCTTGACAAATCTAATTGAATTTTGTGAGGAGGCCACTAACATGGTGGATAAGAGAGTGTCTGTGGATGTCGTCCACATGGACTTCCAGAGGCATTTGATAAAGTTCCGCACAAGAGGTTATTAGCAAAAATAAAAGCACATAGAATGGGCTGAGACCTTGTGACATAGGTAATTGGTTGGGAGGCAGGAAACGGAGAGTAATAATAATAATAATAATCCTTGCATTTGATATAGCGCTTTTCACGTCAGGAGGATGTCCCAAAGCGCTTCACAGAACACACTGTAAAGTGAATTGATTGTATATTTGTGGGCGAACGCGGCAGCCAATTGCGCACAGCAATGTCCCACAAACAGTCATGGGTTGAAAATGACCAATTTATTATTGTTTTTGGTTTTGGAGGGATTATTATTAGGCTCTGTGTGGAGTAAGGAAACCTGCCCAAGGTTTCGCCCTCTGCCTCGAATTGAACTCAGGTCTCTCACTTACAAAGCGAGTGCTCAACCACTGAGCTACAGGACTCCACGATAGTAGCTATAAGGTGAATGTTCTCTGATTGGCGGGACGTGACAAGTGGTGTCCCACAGGGTCTGTAATGAGGCCTCAGTTTTTCACTGTATATACATAGTAAATGACTTGGATGAAGGAATAGAAAGTTTTATATACAAATTTGCAGATGACACAAGATTAGGAGGCAAAATTGTGCAGATGGGAGCAGGAACTTACAAAGGGACTTAAATACATTAACTGAATGGGCAAAACTGTGGCAGATGGAATTCAATGTAGGAAGTGTGGGGTCATCCACTATGGATTCAAAAATAGTAAAACTGAATATTTTCTAAATGGGGAGAAACTAAGAACTGGAAGAGCAAAGGGATTTGGGTGTCCAAATACACAAATCACTATAAACACGTTTACAGATACAAACAGTGTTCAAAAAGGCTAATGGGATGTTGGCCTTTATCTCAAGGGAGTCGGAATTTAAAGGAGAGGAACTGATGCTTCAACTATATAGAGCCTTGGTCAGAGCCCATCTGGAGACTGTTCAGTTTTGTGCACCACACCTCAGGAAGAATATATTGGCTCTGGAAGGGGTGCAACACAGACTCATCAGAATGATACCAGGGCTAAAAGGGATAAATTATGAGGAAAGATTGCATAAACTTGGTCTCTATTCCCTTGAGTTTAGAAGGTTGAAAGGTGATCTGATTGAGGTTTTTAAAATAATGAAGGGATTCCATAAAGCTACTCCTATACTTCTATGAAGTCCCCCGCTTTTAATTACGAAGAGCCCAAACTTGTCTAATCATTGCTCATAACTCATTTCTCCAACACTGGGAATCATCTGCTACCTTAGTCCTGGGTTCTCGATTGGATTGCTCAAAGCTCTGGCTTTTATTGTTTGAAAACCAATGATGAGATGTGGACCCAGCAACAGTGGACATCGATTTCTTGAGGCAGATTTCAGCTAATGTGATGGCAAGGGACTGACAATGAGCTCAGCCTGCGATGGGAGGAGAGGGTGGTGGGAGGTGGAGAAATTAGACTGCTCCTGTGGGCAATCCTCCTTAGGCAAGTTTCCTGACTCCACAATCCTAGCAGTAAGTAAGAGCCTTGTTATTCGATTGGTGGATCGATTTCTGACGGTAATAATCCCTTCAAAAAAAATTAATAATAATTTGGTCACTCAATCTATGACTGTTTGTGGGACGCTGCTGTGTGTAATTGGCTGCCATGTTTCGCCCACAAAATATAAGTTAATTCACTTTGCAATATATTCTGTGAAGCGCTTTGACACGTCTCAAAGATGTGATAAAGCGTTGTATCAAATGCAATTATATTATTTTTATTCAACCAATATTGAGTCATACTATGGCACAGAGCTTACAAACAGAACAACCTGTGTCAAGCCTTTTATTCTGGCCTCTCGATCCCATTAATTTTAATGGCAGGAAGAAGCTAAGGAGATCTCTGCTAACATTCCCTCAGAACCTCTCTGGGCAGCTGGTGAGGCCCCCAGGGTTTAGCCTGCCTTTTAACACGGAAGCTCTTCCAAATATTGAAAACAATTATCTATTCATTCCCTCTGTTGAGAATCACAAGTATCCAGTGGAGAGTGCCGGGTGCGGTTTGAACCTACTTGCTTTGAATATCAATGAAGCCGGTCGTGCATTGAGCCCCTGCAATTCGTTCAACGACCTGCCCTTGCCTTTCACTTGGTAAAACATTTCAAAGTGCTTAACGGAGATGGAGTGGGAGAGCGAGCAGGGAGGGGGACTGTGTGTGTGGGGGTGGGGTTGGCGGGGAGGGGAGAAGGGAGATGGCTGAAGGCATAAAGAGTCATATAGCACCTCTGAGTTGGAAGATTGCGGTTCAAACCCCACGTCAGGGCTTTGAACTCATATCGTCCAGGCTGACACTCCAATACACTGTTTTAGGATGACGAGCTCAAAGGACCTTCACAACAATAGTGCGAGGCAGCAATAAACAAGACCAACAGGAACCTGGGCTGTCTTGCCAAATCAGTTGAGGTCTGATCCCCAGAAGTCATACTCTAGTTGAATAGCTCTCTTCAGGGGATTACTGAGTGGAGAGGGAGGAGAACTTGAAGGTGTTGATCAAAAACACTGTGAAAGAGATAAGATTCTAATAGGTCTTTGAAGGCAGGGAGAGGCACCAGGCAAAATAATTTGGGGAGAGAGTTCCAGGGATCTGGGGGAACGCAATGGCAGAAGGTTTGGCCACCAATGATAGGATGGGAGGTGTGAGGAACAAAACCACAGTGGATGGTGTGAGCAGGGGAATAGGGCTGGAGGAGATGGTCCAGGTTCAGAGGGCTGAGAAGGCAAAGAGATTTACAACCCTTGACAGGGAGGAGGAAACACCAGAGCTGTGAGCAGGAATGAAGGTGGGGCCTGAATAGAGCTATTCAACTAGAGCATGACTTGTGGGGATCAGAACCTCAACTGATTTGGCGACACAGCCCAGCATCCTGTTTGCCTTGTTTATTGCTGCCTCAAACTGTTTGACACGGTGAGTGGCAATGAGTCAGCTAACACCTCCAGATCTCTTTCAGCTTCTCCCTTGGCAAGTTCTCTCCCATCCATGTAGTATACATGCCTCCTATTACATCCTATATTCAGTCCCTTGCAATTATCTGTATTAAACTTAATTTGCCAGTGATCAGCCCATGTGCACACCCCAACATGCTGCCTCCTCTGATTCTGCGGTTCCTCCTACCTTTGAATTAATTAGCTTTGGCTTGGAAGGCCATAACACTCACTCCAATGACAAAAAAGCCTCAATCTCCAAAATGCCGTCCTTCGGATGAAACCACAATCCTGTCTGCCTGAAAAGGTGGATATTAAAAAATTCCACAGCGCTATTCGAAAAGAGAAGGGAGTTTCTCTCTCCCAGTGTCCTGGCCAACAAAACCCCAGATAAAATTGGTCACTCACTTCATGACTATTTGTGGGACACTGCTGTGCGCAATTGGCTGCCACATTTCTCCCACAAAATACACAGTCAATTCACTTTACAGTGTATCCTGTGAAGCGCTTTGAGACATCTCGATGATGTGATAAGGCACTATATCAAATGAAAGAATTATTATTATTATTATTATGGTTGATCGGGTTCCGTCAAATCGTTCGCCAAAGGCTCATTTTTTTCCACCCAAATACAACTCACGGTTGCTGATTTGGTGTTTTTTTTGGGGGGAGTGGGGAAGGGGGGGATTTTGCTCATTTCTACCTCCTTGAAATCTCCTCCTTTTGCTTTTCTTGTCTGCAGGATTCCGCTGGTGAACCTCTGAAAGGGATCGGGTGCCCGGCTTTCTCCAGCGGACACGAGAGGCTGAGATTGATTGAGCAAAGCTGCGTTTATTTTTCTAAGTGCGAAAAAAAAAGCCGGCAGATCTCGTTATTTTGATGAAGAAAGAGTGAGAAAGGAAGCTATTGTGCGGAGGACGGAAAAAGGGGATTGGGATGAGGGTGGGGCTGGGGGTCGGGTGGGTTGGGGAGGGGGGGGGCAAGTTCCATAACAGGAGATTCTGAGACACAAAGAGAGAGAGAAAATATACAGAGCAGCCAAATTTTTAACAAAGACTGAAAACTGTTCAAAGTGTCTATATAATGGAGTCAAATAATGAATTTGGATCCATTACCGTTAGTGCCATAAGATGCCATGTACTTAGAGACTACAGGCTGGTATGATCCAATCAGAGACTTTATCTCTTTGAGAAGAATTTGATATATTTTGACCGGGAGAAACGCTATCCTTAATTTCTTTTACGTGGGACACGTTCCCGAGGTGATTCCCAACACGTTTGTCGGGAAGAGATTTCAAGGGTTGGAAGCCAGCGATGAGAAACTTGGATACAGTCAATTTTGCTTGTGTCACGGTGTATATATCCGATGTTAAAACTCTCGTAGGTTCGTTTCTGTTCCTTCCCTCTGTATCTTTCAGCCCCCACCCCTCCCCCCCCCCACCTTTCCCCTCCTCGATTCATTCCCGAGGCTGTGTTCCTAGGGCGAGCCCTGTGGGTGATTGGCCTCACTTGGTCTGGGATGACAAGTGGAAATTATCATTGGGATTTTGGACTCATTTTGGTTTGGAAGATTCCCATCCGGCTCAGCACAAAATCCCAACAAGTGAAGGAATGTATTTGAAAACATACTGACACACTCCACACTCACATCTGTTACACACACACACATAATACACACACAGACACACACATACACAGATAAACACAGGCACTGAAAAGCACAGACGGATGTACACCCCTTTCTCAATAGCCCTACACCCACACTGACACTCTCACACTGCTACATACACGCACACACACGCACACACACGCGCACACACGCATTAAGATACCAAAACACACACTGAGGTACATCCCTCTCTCAATATCCCTCCCCCCACACACGCGCACACACATACACACTGACACGCTCATACTGACACACATGAAACATACACGCAACCTGAAACTGACGCAAAGAAACACGCACATTCACACAGTGAGACACACTGACAGATACACCCACTAACCCAGACACACACACACGTATTCTGATACACACACAAGCACACACACAAACACACACCAATTAACACACGCTGACAAACACACTATCTCACACACACACAGACACACAGGCACACACATTAGTTCTTTCACTCTTGCACACTCGCTCTTGCACGCTATTATTATTATTATTATTATTATCACACACTCAAATTCTCTCCTTCTCACACTCGCGCACACTCTCTCTCTCTCTTGCACATTCTCTCTTGTCCTCCTCCGCCACTCTCTCTCTCTCTCTCTATCTGTAGTCCACCCCCGACTACTTTGTGCAAACACTGCATTGAGATTCCATCTGCTGTTGCCATGGCGACCCCAGAGCGTGCTCTCGAAGCGTGTTAAAGAGTCGTGCCGTTACCCCCTCCCCCCACACACACACAAACCCGGAGCCCACACGCTAACTCACGCATTGGGCCCGACAGTTTAAAGGGGAAGTACCTCCCGTTCACAATCCCTCGCCGTCCATTCCCCTTTAATGAACACGAGAAATAGAGTCAAGACAGACCGTTTGGGCGGCCGCGGTCCTCCGATCATCTAAACAGTGAAAGATTGGAGGAACGGACTGTGTGAGCGATGGGTTAATATTGTGGTATTACACGTACACACACACGCATTGAGACACCAAAGCACACGCTGAGGTACATCACTCTCAATATCCCTCCCCCACACACCCGCACACACACTAACACACTCACACTGACACACTCACACTGACACACTCACACTGACACACACACACTGACACACACACTGACACACACACACTGACACACTCACACTGACACACACACTGACACACTCACACTGACACACATACACTGACACACTCACACTGACACACTCACACTGACACACATACACTGACACACTCACACTGACACACACACTGACACACTCACACTGACACACACACTGACACACTCACACTGACACACATACACTGACACACTCACACTGACACACTCACACTGACACACATACACTGACACACTCACACTGACACACACACTGACACACTCACACTGACACACACACTGACACACACACTAACACACTCACACTGACACACACACTGACACACACACTAACACACTCACACTGACACACACACTGACACACACACTGACCCACTCACACTGACACACTCACACTGACACACACACTGACACACACATTGACACACTCACACTGACCCACTCACACTGACACACATACACTTGGGGGATTGCCGCGTCAGGAAAAGTTCGCCTCAGGACGGAGCCTGGAGTTTTTTTTGCAGCCCACGTCCAGGGATTCAAACCCCCTCGAGGAATGGAGGACGTATCTTTGATTTTATTTAATTTCTTCATGTATCTTTTCGGCGTCAAACCTTTTCTCTTCAAGTGGGTGTTGTGCAAATTATATATAGAGGTGTGAAAAACGCAAAGAGATTCCGCATCAAAAGCACCGGGGCTCGCCGTTCGCTTTGCTTTGTTTTTATAGCACACACTCGCCGTGAGAGAACCCGTTCAGACCACGGCACGCAGCCAGGACAACCGCTGGGGGACAATTTGCGGGGTTTCTTCACTGATTTCCAAGTAACAATTGTTCCCAGCTCATCTTCCCATCGCTGTAAGTTCGGTTGGATTCAGGCCGACATTAAAATCCTCTTCTTCCCCTGTCGCTATTTTGGGGATCAGCCTGGCTCAGTCAGCAGCTCTCTCTCTCTCTCTCTCGCCTCTGAGTCAGAAGGTTGTGGGTTCAATCCCCACTTTAGGACTTGGAATCACAGCGTCTAAGCTGACGTTCCAATGCAGTGCTGTGGGGAGCACTGTATTGTCAGAGGTGCCGTCCTTCTGATGAAATGTTCAACCCAGTACCCGTCTGTCTGTTTCAGGTGGACTTTGAAGATCTCACAGCACTATTCAAAAAAAGAAGGGAGTTTCTCTCTCCCTGTGTCCTGGCCGACAATCCCCCAAATAAAATTGGTCACTTCCTCCCCATCATCAGCAGGTGAATTTGGATGAGGAGGCGAATGACCAGTTTTTATTTGCAGGATTGTCGGCCAGGACACAGGGAGAGAGAAACTCCTTTCATTCCTCGGTTGAGTGCGAGATGTCACTGCACAGATTAGCTTCCATAACACAGGGAAGGACCTAGGGAAAGGAACTGCAGTAGGCAATTCAGCCCATCTAATCTGTTCCAGCTCTAGATTTTGCAGATCTTTTCGCCCACAAAATATACAATCAATTCACTTGACAGTGGCGACATCAGTGTATCCTGTGAGATGCTTTGAGACATCTCAACGACTTGATAAGGCACTATATCAAATGCAAGGATTATTGTTATTTATTATTGTCTTTTATAATTCCCAATTCGTTGTACCTCTCAATATCTCTACCACCCAAGTATCTGTCTACCTCTCAGTTAAGCAGCTGTATGATTTCTACAGATCTCTAAGACTGAACATATTAATAATATATCCCTTCATTTGATTTGGAGCCTTATAATTGAGTCATCTCAAAGAGCTTCATCGGATTTTACTGTAAAATGTAGGGATTGGATATTTGTAGGCGAATGCCACAGTCAATTTGCACACAACAGTATTGCACAAACAATCATGATCAAAGGGGTTTGTTGGCAAGGACACTGGGTGAAAGCCCTTCTCTTTTTGAAATAGATCAAAGGGACATTTAACATCCACCTAAACAGATTGAACTGTGGTCTTAACGTCTCATCCGAAGCAACGACACATCTCGCAACACAGCGCTCCCCTAACGCTGCGCAAGAGACTGTGAGCTCAAAGCCCCAAAGCCGGGGTTTGAACCCACAGCCTTCTGACTCAGAGGCAAGAGTGCACCTGACTGAACCAGGCTGACACCTGTCTCACTTTCCACACCTTCACAAGCATCTGTGTGAAGATATTAATGCTTCCTGTTGTCAGTTTTAATTAGTCCTGTTCGGTAAACTGCTTCGAGACGTTTTATTTCAATGTGAAAGGCGCTGGATAAATAGATACAGGTTGAGGCAATGTGTCCAAATGTGTATTCAGAAATTCGATCTCTACACAATCCCGTGAAATCTGTGAAGAAATATCGCACGATAGACCCTCTTTTTTAAAAAAAGTTGTGGAAATATTTCATTTTATATTACGCTGTACAAAAAAAAAGCGAGTGATAGGGATTTTTTGTCGAAGACGTTACAATTGGTTGTCGAAGCATTAATCAAGGTTTAGCAATCGGTCAAATATTTAATGTTAAATGAATTGGCTTTGAAACAAAAGTTGGTGGGACGTTGTTGTGAATGTAGAAGGTGTTCACAAGGTCCTATCACCCCCATGTTTTTNACTAACAACTGAAACGTGGAAGAATTATGATAATTGTATTTAGAAGTTACTCCATTGTATGCAGTACAAGTGTTTAACTGTATTAAGACCTCCAGAGGATTGGTCAGTATGAGGGTGAGTGTGTGTGAGAGCTCCATCATTTTCACAGCAGATAATATCCCGTGGCTATGTTTGTTGTCACATCTTCCGTAACATGGATGGAGTCAGTGAGGAGGAAGCTGCTGGTATCAGACATTATGACACTCGACTCATCCTCAACAGAAAATAAAAATTAATTGTAAAAAAAAGGGTGGGGGGGGTGGGGGGGTAACAGGACTTTGTGAACACCCTGTACATTGAAGCAGCTAATGTGAGTGTGAGAGAAAACTAAATTAACTCCATGGGAGAAAGTCTGTGACGTTTTATAACACTGTGTATGAGACTGGTTTGGGTTCTAAACATCCCCCTCACCATCACTCTTGGCACAGTAGTTGGGCCCAAAGATTCCCGTGCTTCCTAGTGAAGGACGGTTTTGAGCTTCAAAGCTCAAGCTGCTATCCTGTCGGGTGACACTTATACTCCATCTCTGAGCTGATATCAATGTATTTTTCCTTTCGCGCTCTTTCGGCCCCCAAAGAAGACAGTGGCCCAAAGCGTTGTGGTCTAAATGGAATTGTGGGGAGGAGGGTTGGAGGGGTATTTTTTTCGCATCAAAATCAGTTCTCACATCATCTTCTCACCCGCGGGCTGGAATGGGTTAAAATTCCACAGCAATCAGCCAAGTGAGTGCCAATTTGATATTGCACTGGGGAGAAAAAATATCATCTTTCAGGGTTAAATTTAGCCATTCAATGGGCTAAATATATCAATAAATTAAAGGACTGAATGATTAGATATCACAAGGAGTGGCTTGATGCTAACCCCCATTCCCCCATCGTGTTCGATT